CAAATCACAAAGGATAGATATTATTGACAGAGCGAGGAACATTTCAGTGGTAGTATCCAAGCGTCGTGATGCTTCAGGCAACACTTAGGCGCTTCATGTTGAGAGAGATTTGGATCTCAAAACTCTATAAAGATAGCTTAGCAGGGTCCCTCCATTCAAGATCACCTGGGGATTAGTACGCTTATCTTCCCACTTCTTCTCCCACATGCATGTGCTTTATTTTTGCAAGGCTCGGGCATTCCTATAAATTCCTTGCTTATTTTCAAGCACTAGAAATAAAAATATTTTCAAAGAGGAAGAAGAGATCATAAAACTCTAAGAAATTTGTTAGTTAGATGCAATAATTTTGTAGTGATGAAAAATTTTGTCCATAAAAGAAGATTTTATAACCGTGGGGGGTAAACTTGAGCAGGCAATAGAAGAAAGGGATGGAAATATTTCTCTTCCAATGATGATGTAGTTGTACTACCTATGGTTAGAAAATGTCATGCAAATGTAAAAGAACATCAAATTTTTAGGGTTTTGTAGAAGGAAATGAGTGTTATTTGATAAGGACACCATACATAGAGTATATTATTTAAAATATGTTGAGAATGATGATAGCACCACTTTTTACAATGGATATCCAAATTTTGATAAAATTTAACGGTTTTTGATAAAACTTGAATATAGCACTCAACGGAAGAAAATTGATGATACATTCATTAAGTTCCCATGTTTAGGGTATGAAATCAATAGCTAAGGCATGGCATTATTTCACTCATCGGAAATTAATATTCAGTGGTAACTTGAGTGAGATGACTGGAGATAGCGTTGTTTTAAATTATGCCATTCAGAATGAACTTTCTATTGACATAGGAAAAATTATTAATAATTGTATATTTAACTTTTTGAAATAAGTTACGACTTACGACAGAAGTATTAGGTCACTCTTCACTCATTTACCAACTTTGTTTAGGGGCAAGGTTCTGGAGAATCTTCTGAGAAAGTGCAGCATCCAAAAAGATCCTAGTCAAAGTAAAAAAAATCATCATTTAGCTCTAGATCAACACTGTTAGATATTGGAGAAAGTTCTTATCAATCCCATGCCCTACAAACTCCTAGGTCCAAGCCTTCTATGACTATATTTGACTAGGTTCGCAAGTTGAAAAAACAAATGACTTAATGACAATATTACAGCAAAAGGAACATCAAATGGACTACTACATGGACCAATAGAGCCAACACTTTAACTGGATGACTTCAACTCAGCCATGGCAAATATTTTAAGAATTATTTACTAAATGCCAGGCCGAACATAGTCTATTTCCTAATCCACAAAATATTATGCAATATGCAGCAGGACAAAGAAGACTCTGAATACCAGTAACCACATCTATCAGGAAAATTCGTTATCCATATTACTTTATAAAGTTTATATTTTTTCTTTGAGGAGATGCATTGTTTAAATTTGGGGGTGTTTTATAAGTTTGGCATTCCTTTGGTGTATGCTGTGTGTTGTTATTTGGACAGTTCTGGATATTTCTTAGAATGATTTCTTTGGAAAGTTTTGTAGCACCAAGATGCTTTTCAGTGAAGTGCTTATGCTCTAGGCAGTTATTTTTCTGGCAACATTTAGTTTTGGCAATTCCTTTGACAATTCTAGCAAAAATTTTCTTTAGAGATATCTAGTTTTTTTTTAGCGCTAGGCGCTTGTTCTTGCAGTGATTTTAGTGCTGGGGGCTTTAAATACAATCTTGTGACCAATCTTAGAAATCTCTTATTCATGATTGCTATATGTGGTAAGAAATTGTGTTGTGCGCGTTATATTTTTTTAACTTTGTTGGTTATGTATGTAAAAAATAATTGTGTATAAGTTCAACTATGGTTGATAAGTGATAAAAGATGATTTGTACATTTTATTCTAGAGAAGATCTTTTGATATATGTTTGTTAGAAGATTTATGACTTAAACTCATGCATTTAGGGGCTATGTTGAGGAGTTAAAATAGGGATTTTTTGGTGTGTGAAAGAAAGTTTCATTAAGGGGAGAAGTGGTGAAAGAAGAAGCACAAAAATGGTGTCTGAAAGAAAGTTTCAACATGATTTTGTACATAAATCTGCACAATATTCTATTTTTCTTTAATTTATTTTTATTCTTTATCTTTAAATCATAAAATTCATGAGTTTTCTATATTATTTTCTCAAATCCACTCTGAACTAATTTCATATATGAATTTATGATTTAATCAGAACATCTTTATCAGTGCAGTATTTTGATCTCTAATATCTTAAATTTAGGATTGTCTGACCATTTTTATTCTTCATTTAGTTGACTAATGACCATTTTTCAACTTAAAATCGATTAAATTTAATTACATCAAAAGAGTTATTTTATGCTTTAAAAAGATAAAAAACACAAGTTAATAGTTGGGATAGGAATATGCTCAATTAGAATTTGCCATCTTTTGAGAATGGAACTTCATGTGATCTTTTAAATTAGTTCACACATGAATATACTGATTTGTTTAATCTTATTAGATTTTCTAATTTTTTGAAGAAATTAAAAATAAATTTATCTTCAATTGACAATCCATTTTTATAATTTTGAAATCAAGTGTAAGCACTAAAAATGTGTGTTTTGGTGTACCATGATTTTGTCCCCATTTAATTAAAGATTAGGTTGGAGAAGTAGCTTTTACAAGTTTTTCATCAAATTGTTGAATTAAATTAATTATAATATAAATAAGTAATTAATTATTCAATACTGAGTCCTTGATCATTGAGGGAATAATACTCAACTCATCATATATTATTTGTTTATTTGCACATGCATTTCTGTATCATGTTTAATAGCCAGCAAAATACTGCACATAATAGATTATCTCTGCTCTAAAAGCACACATACACAATCAATTTTTAAGACTTAGATTTCTAAACTTATTAAATTTATTTAATAACATTTTCTACTTAATTAATATATCCTTTCAGTTGACAATTTCAAGTTTTATTTTCAAATCAATCTTAATTTTCATGTAAGAAATATATTTAATTGTCCAAAAATTTTCCTATATATATTGGTCTTGCAATTCTTCATGGTGTTGATGTTACTTTATGTTACGTTTTATCATCAAAATATTTTGAACAATATTTAGATTTGAATTAAGGTATCTATGCGCACATTGAAGCCTTAATCGAAAGTCATAGTAATGTGTGGCACGACTTACACCTAAAAGATGGCTTTATGATAAGCCATAGTGGGACATTATGCATCTTACATCACGAGAAAGGATGAAGCGTGAGGATCACTATGATGACCAATAGTTGTGATTACATCTTGAAGCTTTATTTTCTCTTCTTACTTTTTTCTTCGTTCATTTCTATATTTCTTTTTCATTATGTCACTAGTATGGGCTTTTGCTTCACCTCCCATTTGCTAAGTTGGTGGATGCCACATTCCCATCCTAAAATTTCTTCAAAACACCTCCTATGAGCTCATATTTACCTTCACATAGCAAACCAATGGAATTAAGGCAATTTCAATGGATTACAAGGTTCTCTAGCAACAAAACCATCATAAAAAACAAAATTCATGCAAACTCCCACAGGGTGCCAAAGACTGCATATTCTTAGAGCTATTTCATCATGCATTTCAAGCCCTTTTATTTATCTAAGAACTCGACATTATCAAATCTCAGGAGATAAGATTGGAAAAACAGCTAGTAGTAAGACAATTGATTTCAGTTCCTTCACTGTCTAGATAAAATTCCAAAACCCTAAAGACATTTGTACATAATTTCTTTATCATTCAAACAATCAATAAGATATGGGCCATCCTTCAGGAATATGATCATTGGCCATAACTTCAGGCTCTTGCTAATCAAGATAGATTAATTTGAAGGTCCAACGTTCACTGGAGTTTCATTTTTCTTCAACAGCAGCTCAAAGAGTGATTTGGTGTAAGGGAAAGCAACAACTTTCCAACAAATTAAACAATAAAAAATAATTTTTATAAGATTTTCCACCTTTTATACAGCTAGCGAAACAATCACATAAGAATCTGCTGATCTATTTCATGTGACTACATGGATAGACAGTTAATCAAATTGCTTCACTATCCCAACTATCTCAAGTTTAAATAAGATTGATTAAGTTTCTCATCTGGCCTAAGTTCGGCATTGTCTTAATCAAAACAAATAAATGATATCAAGCTCTTGATGAAAAGGCATTAACAGTGGAAAGTCCAAGCCAATCAAAGGAAAAAAAAGTAAGATTTGGTTTGATTCTTAGCTGCAAATTTGAGTAAGCTAAATGAAACCAAAACACCCAATCATATCAACATAAGACTTCAACAGATTCATACATAAGAAAATTGGAGAACAGGAACTCAAAATCGGCCTTGTAAGACACCAAGTTTTTCATGGATTAGTCTATCATAGTTCCTAAAAATGCTCCACAGTAACTTCTATGTTAAGCATCATGATCAATCCTCAATACACTAAGAATGATACCAAAAACAATTCATTCAATCCAATAAAAACTGGCAAGAAATTTCATAAATCATGTGACCAACAATGGACTAATGATCTCATCAGTATTGAGAAAGCTAGAAAAATCTAAGCTATGGCTCATCAAAACAAAACCCTAAAACAAACCAGAATCTTCAACCCACTTCTTGACTCAAATTTCTTAAACTCAGCATGATTATTAGGATAACAACAGAGGTACTCATCACTCTTTAGATATCATCATACTTGTATAATATTCACTCTTTCATATCATCATACTTGTATAATATTCATCCGAACTTTGAAGTCAGAAAAAGAAAACTGAAAACCCTTATAAAAATCGCATATCTAAAATGACATTTCACACTTCACTAATCGCCTTATTTCAACTCCTCCTACAGAGATAACAGACATAAACCTTACTAAAAAGAGAGCCTAATTTGGGCAATTTAGGACCATAATTGACGGGGAAAGAGCACAAGCAAAATTAAACAGAAAGGGAGACGGCGCAGACCGACGGCTGCGCTGATGGATCGGAAGGACGGATCTGGCTGAAATTTTGAGGATCGTACGAGGGCCAATCTCCCATGAGAAATGCCATCAATAAGAACAAATTGACTCTCAGGTCCGATCTTTACGATTCACTTAGACTTCGCATGGCAACCGGCGAAGTTGATGAAAGAGCAATAGCTACGGGGAACAGAAAAGGTTGAACTTAGTTATAAATTTAGTAATTTACGGGTTGCCTCCTCGCTTAAGAAATTATTCCGTGCGGACTCCGGAGGTAGCACTAGGGATGGGAGTAATTATTGTGTCCCGGCATCGAACAATAGAATGCATCCAGAGATCAATAATAATGCGCCACATTATTTGAAGCTTGGTACCGAGCACTCAGTATTGCTAGGTATACGTTCGGATTTTTGGATTTTTGTCCGGACATAATAATTTTTCCGTGTATCTGAGGCCCTGAGCTCCACCGAGCCACTACTTAAGTCCCTGGGCTCCATCGGACCACCACTCGAGACCCTGAGTTCTGCCGAACCACCACTTGAGGCCCTGAGTTCTGCCGGACCACCACTTGAGGTTCTGAGTTCCGTCGAGCCACCACTTGATATCCTTAGCTCCACCAAACCACCAGTTGAGGCCCTGAGTTCCGTCGGACCACCACTTGAGGTCCTGAGTTCCTCCGAACCACCACTTGAGGTCTTGAGTTCCGCCGAACCACAACTTGAGGCCCTTAGTTATGTCAGACCACCACTTGAGGCCCTTAGTTCCGCTAGACCACCACTTGAGGCCTCGAGTTCCGCCGGACCACCACTTGAGACCTCGAATTCCGCCGGACCACCACTTGACGCCCGAAGTTCTGTCGGACCACCACTTGAGGCCCTGAGTTCCGGCAAACCACCACTTGAGGCCATGAGCTCCACCAGACCACCACCTGACGCCCGGAGTTTTGCCAGACCCCTACATGAGGCCCAAACATCTGTAGGACTACCATATGAGGCCCGAACCTCTGCTAGACCACCACCTGACGCCCGAAGTTCTACCAGATCACCACCTGAGGCCAACAGTTCTATCGTAGTACTGCCCTAATACTACGGTCCTTCCGACCTCCATCACCAGACAATATTCTTTTTGACCCTGGTCTTCTGCTGACTATGGTCCTTCTAACCTCCATTATCAGATAACGGTCTTTCTAACACATGTCTCCTGCCCGACTATTGTCCTTTCGAACTCCGTCGCCTACTACCGTCTTTCTAACTTCTATCCTATTGACAATGGTCCTACCAACCAAACAAATATGTCTATGTTGATTATTGTAACTCTCACCATGTAATACACTCTATATGATGTACATTTATGACATCAAGCCAAGACCTTCTCCTAAAGAAGGGCCTCATTTGTAATCAATTGCAAATACTAGTGGATTCAGTCAAACTGGGTTAGGCCCCGTGGGTTTTTCCTCTTTTTCAGGGGTTTCCATATAAAAACTCCGGTGTCTCTTATGAACGTTACGTTATCTCTTTCATCTACTCGTGTGTTGGATCTTCGTACAACGCTAAGACGTTAAACTATATATTTCTCTACCGCCGCAAATGTTCCAGGACGCAACAACTTCCACATCCCCAACATATTTTAGATCCTATCTGGTTTCTTCTTTGACAATAAATTTGAGGGCAAGAATGTTTTTAATGTATGAAAATTTTTAATATGGACCAATTAAATATTAAATTATATATTAGGTGCTATTTTATTTTTTAAATCTATTACATTTGTAATTGTAGAAACTCATACTCAATTCTTGAGGAGAAAACAGAAAAGGAACGGAGAAGAAGAAACAGTGAAAGAGAACTTTATTTGCTATCTTCCCTCCTGTCATTACAGAGCTACTAATTATATATACTAGCTGAGGCTAGGCATTACACGTGTACACCAGTAATTGGAGAACAAGAAGAGAATTAAGTAATACATGATTTGGTTATTCTAACAGGTAGCTCTGCGGATGGGAGTGCAATACAGTGCACATGCCCATACGTCCATACGTGTACATGAGGACTGAGCTCCACCGAGCCATCACTTAAGGCCATGAACTCCATGGACCACCACTTGAGGTCCTGAGTTCCGCCGGACCACCACTTGAGGCCCCGAGCTCCGCCGGACCACCACTTGAGGTCCTGAGCTCTGCCGGACCACCACTTGACCCCCGAAGTTATGTCGGACCACCACTTGAGGCCCTGAGTTCCGTTGAACCATCACTTGAGGCACTGAGCTCAACCGGACCACCATCTGACGCCTGGAATTTTACCGACCCACATGAGTCTCGGACTACCATCTGAGGCCCGAACTTCTGCCAGACCACCACCTGACGCCCAGAGTTCTGCCGGACCACCACCTGAGGCCAAGAGTTCTATAGGAGTACTGCCCTGCTACTGTCCTTCCGACCTCCATCAATAGACAACAGTCTTTTTGACCCCGATCTTCTGCCGACTACTGTCCTTCTAACTTCCATTGTCAGACAACGATCTTTCTTACCCATGTCTCCTGCCGACTATGATCATTCTGACCTCCGTCGCCTACTATGATTTTTCTGATCTCTATCCTATTGACAATGGTCCTACCAACCAAACAAATATGTCTATGTTGATTATTGTAACTCTCGCCATATAATACACTATATATTATGTATATTTGTGACATCAAGCCAAGTCCTCCCAAAGAAGAGCTTCATTTGTAATCAATTGTAAATACTAGTTTATTCATTCAAACTGGGTCAGGCCCCGTGGGTTTTCCCCCTTTTACAGGGGTTTCTATGTAAAAACTCTTGTGTCTCTTATGAACGTTACATTATCTCTTTCATCTCCTTGTGTGTTGGATCTTCGTACAACGCTAACGCATTAAACTATATATTTCTTTACCGCCGCAAATGTTGCAGGACGCAACAATTTCCACATCCCCAACATATTTTAGATCCTATCTGGTTTCTTCTTCGACAATAAATTTGAGGGTAAGAATGCTTTTAATGTATGAAAAATTTTAAAATGGACCAATTAAATATTAAATTATATATTAGGTGCTATTTTGTTTTTTAAATCTATTAAAATTGTGATCAAATCAAATCTGACTCATATGGAAAACGGGTTGACCCGTCCGGGTGAGTTTCGGTCCTGATCAGATTTTGATTGAATGAATGAATATTATTTTCATCTTTTCATTATTCAGCGAGTGGAATCTAAAGCAGTTATAATTTTGAATTGAGAAATACTTTTCTCTCATATTTCTATGGATTATTTGTGAATTTTTTATAAAATAATTTATTGCTGAAATTTTATTTCTGCAATGCTTTTGACCTTAAGATATAGACATTTAGAACTTTGTCTACTCTGTGGACAATAAATTTAGTAAATATGAATACGCCCAAGAACTCAGCATTAAAATGAATATTTGCAGCTAGTCCGTTGACCTATCGCAGAATAACTAATAAAACATAAACAAACAAAATGAATAGGTATTACGACTGGAACTTGACTGGCTTTTTGCTTGAACAGCACTTGAATTAGTCTCTTCTTGCGCAAAACAGCAAACAGTTGATGGGTAGAAAAAAAGTTGCTGAAAATATTATTGACTTTGATTAAAGCCCATATTTCAGCAAAATTAGTCTAAGATTTTATTCTTGACAGTTTTCTTATTGTTTTCTAAAGTATTTTTTTAGTATAAAAAATTTTTGAACTATAAATTTTTGTGGTGGAAAAATATTTTTAGAAAGCAGTAAGAAAGCTATCCAAAATGAAGCCTAAATCATGAGCCGCTTGCAGCACTTATTTGCTCTTAGAGAACTAAATATTTCACTGAAAAAGAGGTGGAGTTCTGTTGCCATTTTTTGGGTAGCCCTACTAAGTCTAATCTTTTTGTGATTTAAAATTATTGTAATTCTCAGAACCGAAACACTTGAATTAGGTCGCCGGTCGCGAATGGCTTTCGCTCTGCTAGGGTTTCTGCCCTAGCCGTCGTTCCTTTTGCCGCTTCTTCTAGCCAATTCCTCCTGTTTTCTCGAGCATGTGCCTCAGGGAAGTGCCCTTTCTCATTTTCTCTAGCTTGCTGCTGTTTTCGGTTTTTGCCCTTCGTTTTGCTGTTGATTTATCGGTTCATGGCGGTAAACCGACTCGTGGATCCTGGCTTTTTGAGTGAGAAGGGTTCATCTCGTTCGTTCTGTGATGCTCTATATGGTTATTCTTCTTCTTCGATTTTTCCTGACCTCCAAATTACTTCTCACAGTGGGTTGCGGTCACTATGGATTTTTAAAGATGAAATTTTAGCTCTTGCCGCCCCTTTCGAATTCGCCTTGATGGGAAAATTTCCAACTCGGCATCCATCTCTTGAAGCTATCCGGAAATTCTTCTTTAACCTAAAGCTAAATGGTGATGTCTCGGTTACCATCCTCAATCTAAAGCTTTTGTTGGATAAGTTCATTAATGATTTGGATTATTATAGTGTGTTCTCTCACTGTTCTAACTTTGTGAATAATTGCTTTATGAAATTGTTCAAATGGTCCCTTCGTTTGATGTTGAAGTGGAATCCCCCATCATTCTGATTTGGGTTTCATTTACCAACCTTATACCCCATCTCTTCTACCCTTGAGCGGGTAGGTAGCTCGTGTTCTAGTGCAGTTAGATGTCACCAAATATTATCTTGAGCGGGTGTGGGTTGGCCCCGTAAACTTAGTTTATGTTACAACAGTGGTTATGGAAGAATTTCATTCATATTGTTCTCATTGCAAATCTCTTGGTCACTTGAAAATGGATTGTAGCATCTTAAACCCCAATCTTTCTAATCTTCCCTCTACTAATCCTCTCTCGGGTAATGTGGATATTTTAGCTTCCGGTGATGAGCCTACTACTAGACATGTCAATGGTTGTGCGGATTTGACTTTGCACAATGATGTTGATTTTGGTGGTAAGGACCATGGGGAAAATGTGATTTTCACTTCTAGTGATGATAGGCTTTCGCTTGAACGTGTCCCTATGGTTTCTCCTGTGGATGTTTCGGGCATTGGGAATATTGGCTATTTGTCTCCTAATTTGGATGTAATTTCTTCTCTTGCTCCTAATGTTATTAATGATGGAAATTGTTGTGTTTCTACATTTCAAGAGGCTAGTGAGGATATAATTATGGGGGCTGATAATAATGTTCATTTATTGGCTGTTGGTGATGTTAAATCTATTGTTTCTCCTGTTGTTGT